GGTAATAAGCTGATGGAAAGTAGGTTTAGGTTAGAGATCAGAAGGCAGTTTTTTAGTTAGGGTGGCCAAAGTCTCGAACCAGCTTCCAGGGAAGTGGTCCTCACCCCTACCTTGGGCAAATTAAAGAGGAGGTTGGATGATCACCTGTCGGATCTTACGAACCCGGCATTCATTCCTGCCTGTGGCAGGGGGTCAGGCTAGATGATCTGTTCAGGTCCCTCCTGACCCTAGCTACTATGAAACAAGTCCAAATTCTGCCTGGTTGTGTGCATTTAGTGAAACTTGAAGGAATTTACGCTATATTTTTTCTTTCTTTTTTTTTCTGGTAGGTCCCTTTGGTGTCTTCAACAAGTGAGGGCTACACAGCATCCCAGCCCATGTATCAGCCTTCTCATACAACAGAGCAGCGGCCACAGAAAGAATCAATTGACCAGCTTCAGGCAAGTTGCATGATTTCATCTTGCTTTGGAAACCCTGAACTAGCTCAGTCTTGAGGTCTGGAAAAGGCTAGTGTTTATCCCTTTCGAAGACAGTTTCATAATTTTAAAATACTAATTTAGGTATCAAATGACAGGGGCTCTTCATTTGACCCTGTTTATGGCTTCAGTCATTTTTGGTCAGGTATTGATATTAAACTGGGTTATCTGTTAGCTGAAGGATAGTAATTGTTGTCAGTCTACCACCTTGTGGAAAAATGAATCTAGCTCATGAACATGTATGCTTTGAAGAAGGAAGAACATGTTATTGACCTTGTCTAGTGCATGTCAGATGAGCTTGCTTTTAATTTTGTTCAGCCTCTTTTGTCCTTGTGTGTTATAGATATTGGTAATAGCTCAGTTAAAGTAGGAGTCATCTGTTTATCAGTTCAAGCATTTTTCAGACCCCACCTATAATTTGTACCAGGGTAATGTGACATTATCAAATGCTTTGTATCTATAGTAGTCAAGAGTTGCTAAGATGCACTTTATTTCCATTGATAGGCTTCAATGTCTTTAAGTACAGACCAGACACCAGCATCTTCATCACTTCCCACTGTATCCCAGCCTCAAGTATTCCAGACTGGGTCTAGCAAACCTTTGCATAGCAGTGGAATTAATGTTAATGCAGCTCCATTCCAATCCATGCAAACAGTAAGTACCAAAACTTAATACTGAATCCATTTGCTCTTGGTTAAAACATCTTTTGGTTGCCGTTATGACTGGAATTGGTTATGTAATTGCTTCATCATACTTGGTACACTGGGTCTTTCTTATATGAGGGTTGTATTCCAAAAAAACCTCACATAAAGGGAATCCATTATTACATGTAATTAATAGGGATACATACCAGCCTCACTCTACTGTCTGCCCCACCCCCAACCCATGACAAATTCAAACAGTAATCATGCAATACAATACGTGCTGCGCAGAGAGGCTGCAAGCTCTACGCTGCAAGCAGCAGCACATGCAGGGGGTGCGCCGCCAGGGCAGTACGGGGCGGGCTTGAGAGGCACCAAGGGGAGGGAAGCAGGGTGGCAGGGAATGCCAGGTGCTTGCCACTCCTGGCTGTGCCCTGCTTCCTTTCCCTGCATGCCTCTCCAGCCCAGCAAGGACGACTCAGTGTGGCTGGCAACAGTGGAGCTGCACAGAGAAGCTACAAGCTCCCTGCTGCGCACCAGGTCATGCCCGCTGGGCTGTAGAGGCACCCAGGGCAGGGAACAGAAGGGCCACATGGAGAAGATGCTCATTTCACGCTGACTTGGCAATGTGCCTGCTGCGCAAGCTGCTGCTTGTAGCATGGGACGAGCACCTTCTCCACCCAGCCCCGCTGTTCCCTGCCCCTGAACCTCCACAGCCCAGCGAGCATGACCCAGTGCAGCAGGGAGCTTATAGCCTCTCCATGCAATCCTGCTGTTTCCAGTTGTGCCAGGTCATGCCCACAGGGCTAGAGAGGCACCTGGAGCAGTGCAGCAGGGAATGGGTACCTCCTTGTCCTGTGCTGCCCTGGAGGCATGCCTCCTGTGCCTGCTGCTGTTTGAGTGGCACAGTCCTGTGCCACGGGAGGCACATGGCCAGGGCACTGGGGTGCAGGGTGCTGGGACCAGGGAGGGAGAGGAGCCAAGCCAGGCCCAGGTTTGGGGCCAGGGCCTACGGTGCCCATGCATCCACCCCTTTCCCTTGGAAGTGTGCAGCGGGAAGCTGGTCCTCCCCTGATGAGCCACTGGAGGCTCTGCCCAAGTACCCCCTGGCTGGGCAACATTCCCATCCCTGCCCCACTCCCTCCCTGCAGGGGACTTAATCCCCTTCTTTCCCTCCACTTAACTGCTGGAGCTGCCCTCGAGGCTACTTGGGGCCACGTGCATGTACTGTACGTGCACATGGTGTCCCCTGTCTCACCGCCTTCCTTCTACTTGCTCCCAGCTCCCTGCAGGCTGGAACTCTGCCAGCCTGCAGGGAGCTCATTGCCAGCTGACTTTGCATAAGATTGGATTTTTGTCGCACAATGCAAATTTCTGGCATAAATAAGGTTGTCACATATAGGTGAATTTGCCCAAAATACATTTGCAAAAGAGTCCTTAGTGTACCTGGTCTTTTATTACATGCACATGGTAAGTAAGAATTGTGGGGGTTTTTTAAAAAGGCAGAATTGGACCAGCCAGCTATTTTTTCTTTTCGGTTTGTTGTTTTGATTTTTTTTTTTTTTTTTCCTTTTAACGCTATAGGTGTTCAATATGAATGCACCTGTTCCTCCTGTCAATGAGCCAGAAACCCTTAAACAACAAAATCAGTACCAGGCCAGTTACAACCAGAGTTTCTCCAATCAGCCTCACCAAGTAGAACAATCAGAGCTACAGCAAGAACAGCTCCAGACAGGTAAACTTACTTTAGATAAAGCTGTTAGACAAAAAGTAAAGCGTTAAGTGGGAGATTATAATGTATCAAATACCTACTAAGGGTCTTCAGGCTCTAAACTGAAAAGTGTTTGTGTCTATGACTCTTAGCGACTTCTTGGGTAGAATCGGAAAGCATTTTAAGAATATGTGCACTTCTCTCAATGTATGCTGTGCCCTTAAAACTTTGCAGCAAATGTACTGAAATGCTAGTTCTATTATATTTATTGTTGGTAATACGCAGGTGCTTTAAAATTCATGTGTTTCCTTGAATTGTTCTGTATTTTGGTATATCCTCCTGGAAAGAGAGGGATTTACTTTATCCAAATGTTAGATATTCTTCAAGAAATAGGTCTCCCTTTCCCCCAAAAAGGAAGGCAGGCTTCATAGATTCTGTGAAAATTTTGTGTGCACATTGTGAGTCTGCATCATGATCTGATTATTTCCTTACTGATCTGTTATTCAGTACTTAGCCCAGCCAGTAAATGACATGCAGGTTCCTTTTGGGGAAACACTATTGAAGCAGTTCTGAGTTGAAAAGGTTAAGCTAGTTTAAACTGATGCAAAACGTTCATGCATCAGAAAGGTCATTACTTACACGCATGCTTTAGGCATTTATTATGAAAAGTACATTTAGCAGAAATCTAAACTGTAGATGGTCCTGTTTCAAGGAAAACAGTTTGTATACAGCATATACTTTACAAGGCACTCAAAGAAACAAAATACCCATGCAAATAAGGAGAAGGGCTTAGGTTGACATTGATTTATGGGAAGAGCTAGCTTTTTGAGGTGGTTGGATGTGGGGAAAGGAAGTGCATAGGATTATGTTGTGTGGAAAAAGAAGGGAGAATTGGATGTGAAGGAGATTTTTGATCCACACTTTATTTTCCTGTGTACATTAATAAGCTTTCTTTTCTGCCCAAATGACCTGAGATCTGAGGGCATCCTGGTGATAATGCAGGCTTAAATCCATACAAACCAGTAAATACAAATTCTAGGTCCATGCCTCTGCCTTATTAGTGGGAGGAGGTTTGTTTGAAGTTGGGACATGGCTGAAAAGGCCTGATGAGAAGGATGTGTAGAAAAGTATGTGATGGGACACAAGTCCAGTGTACTGTTAAGCTGTCTAATCAAGAATTCATGCGACTGTGCTGTAAGCTGGTCCCTCTACTGTCTTTATTCAGCAACAGAAGGTACCAGACTCCAATAAGTAACTTATTACATGCTAATGACCAAGTGTAACAACCTTTTGGGTTGTGGACTAAAATGACCCAGTTTGGGTCAGAGGAAGGCAAACATTAGGATCCAGTCACCACCGTTTCTTTGTGGATTGCTCCTGTGGCTGCTGCTTCTCTGCTTGGCAGCATGGGGAGAGCTCCTAATGCCAAAGCCCCTCACTGTGCAAAGCCTGACACCCCCCTTTCCTACAGAGGGGCTATGGCTACCTCCTCACCGCCCCCCCCCAGTGAAAACATACCTACTGCCTTTCCCTCCCCACAACATTAAATAAAAAAAAAAACCCTTAAAAGAAGTAAAAGAGCCTCCTTTCCCTCCTCAAATTGCCACTGAAGGATAATGTTAAAGAGATGGGCAGTGCTTAGTGTTGCCCTTTGGCAGTATCTCAGGATGGTGCCTGGCTGAGGAGGCCTGCTGGCTGGCTGGGTCCTTCTCCTGTCGTCTTGGTTGCCAAGATGACAGTACCTTGGTTAGGAACAACCTCCCAATCAGATGATTGTATGTCCCAGTCCCAGGACTGAACTGGCTTATGAGGCACATGACTTTTAACATGCCAGTGCAGGGGGAGCTTACAATCATAATCCTGGGTTCTCCCTGCACTGGCAAGTAGTAGTGACATGATTTGGATCTGATCCCTGATTACAGAATCATGCATCCTGCCATGCATATGTGGCAGGAAGCACGTTTATTAGGGTCAGGGAACAGGTCCTATTGCACCGTTAAATTAATGTCTGCTAAGGGCCTAACATAGGCTGCTAACATGCATTCAGATACTGTATTTATTCAAATATACGACCCCCCTCCGATAATTAGATTCTGTAAATGCATACATTCTAATATTATAAAAGCCTAAGCTTGATTCGCCCTCGAGACAGCCAGTCAGAGTGCACTGGACAGACAGTGGTGCGCTGCCATGACTGGGGGGCCAGAGGGGAGGGGGTCAAGGCCAGCAGGGCTGGCCTCACCCTCCTCCCCTGCTCCTTGCAGGCAGAGGGGGATGACAGGGACCGGAGCATGCTGGCTTTGCTCCCCCCGGTCTGCTCCTTGGAATCGGGCTGGCGCCCCACAACAGCTGGGAGGGATGGGAGGTGGCAGGGGACAGGGGAGGTAGGGGAGCAGGAAAGGGGGTTACTAGCAGCTGTGCCACACTGCTACCACGAATGCTGCAATGGTCGCGGGCCCTGGCACAAAGCAGTAGCGGGAGGCAGGGAGCAGTCCTGGTTCTGGTCTGAAGTAACATGGGGGGGAGCAGCCCAGGCCCCAGCCCTGGCCCGAGGCAGGTGGGGGAAGGAGCTCAGGCCTCTGTTCCCGCTCCATCCCCTGCAAGCCAGGTGCCACTCACACCTGGCTTGCAGGGGATGGGGACGGATTTGGCGCTCAGCTGATGTGGCCCCGTCCCCTGTGAGTGGCACTGGATGTAGCCCAGGCAATGCCTCTCGCAGAGGTTGCAGCCGTGCCAGCTGAGCCCAGCCCCGTCTCCATCCGCTGCAAGCAGCACCAGGCTCAGCACTGCTCTTGGGACAGGGCTGGACTCAGGTGGGGACGCGCCGCTTGCAGGAGATGGAGACATGAATAGGGATAGGCTCAGTGTTTAGTTGATGCAGTTCCATCCCCTGCAGGCAGGCATCAGGGGGCCTGCTTGCTCTTGGCCCCAGGTAGGAAAGCGGTGGGGGTGGAGGGGGAGCTGCAGCTAGGCAGGAGTGTGGGGCTGGGGCTGGCGGCAGCACACAGCCTGTACCCCAGGTGGAGGCCAGTGGGCTACAGCAGCACAGAGCTCTGGTGGGCAGGGTGTAGGGGTGTGGGGACCCCCCACACCCCCCCCCCATTGCGCACAGTTCTGGCTGGTAGCAGCAGCAGGCACTCCAGTCAGTGCTGCCCATAGGGTTGAGGGGTACAGTCCAGCTGGGCTGCCTCTCTTACCGCCATGCATGTGCAGCCCCTGTGCTTGCGTGGCACCAGAGCAGAGATGTGGGGTAGAAAATTTTCAGGAAAATCATGTTTTTCAGGTGATTCTCCCTAGGAAGTGTGGGAGAGAGTACATACCTGTTTTATTCATTTGTAAACAGGAGGGTAAATACATTCACCAAACCAAAAATCAAGTTACAAATTCACCCAATTGGCTGTGCAGGTCAAATCAAAACCAAAGCTAAAATTCTTATTAAATCTCAAACTGCAAGTGAAAGCATAACCAAAACTAAAACTGTGATTTTTGTTTCACGTTCAATTCAGCAAATGCACACAGCAGTGTCTCATTTCTTTTCTTGAGTTGGGGAAATTGGAAGTGTTTGCATAATATCTGTTATTTTTTTTAGTGCTTTTGGTTTCAAGTAGTCATAATAATGCCTAATCAGAAAAAATTAGTGTGTGGCATCATTATAGTGAAGTTCAAGCCACTGAAGGAACAAAGAAAGATGGTAAATGTAAATATTGGGGGCAGGAGTATGCTAACAACGCAACAAGAATGAAGATGCATTTAATAGTATTTAGAAACTGTCCTGAAAGAGTACAAGCCAAGAGAAAGCTAATACAACCAAGTGGTGGAATAACATCGTCTGAGAAAAGTCTACTTCAGGAATACTATGTAAGTAAACAAATGAATATGTTAAACAACACGCAGACTAGCATATTCTAGACTACCATCTATATTGTTTTAAAACATTATAATTTTAAAAGTTGTTAATGAAACTCTGGACTGTTAGTTAGTTAGTTATCCATTTAAAATATTTGTATCCTGCTTTTCTGTTTGTACTAAGCACCCAAAGTGCCTTAGGTTTAACAATACTTTAAAAAAATATATATAATAGATAAGTAGTTAACTATTTCAACCCAGCAGAATGAGCTTAGTTTGGCCTCGGCCAGAGTAATATACTTTCCTTTAGTTCTGCAGTTCCAAGGCAACTGAACAGCAAGTTGAGCAGCAGAGTGTTTTTTCTGGCAGGGGGTGGGGGCAAGCTCCCTGCCACTTCTCCTTCTGATGGATGAGACCAGACTAGAATAGGCTAAAATAAAAATCATTTCCCCCTTTTGTTGCAGGAACTTGGTAGCTTGAGTGAAATAGATCTGCAAAAAATGGAAAATGAAAATGTTGAGCTTCCATGTCTGGGGGAAGAAGCAGGGTCCTTGCTTTGAAGAGTGCTGTCACCAGATATGCGATCCGCCATGAGTAGCTGTTCAAGACACTCAAGCTTTTTATCAAGCTTTGTGGACAAAATGTCAAAAGAAGATCAGGAAAAAGCAGATGAGACATGAGCTCGAGCTATATTTGCAAGTGGTAAATCTCCATAACTGAAAATCAATACTGGAAGGAACATTACAAAGTAATTTGCCCATCGTATAAGTTACAGTTATCCCATTGTCTCTTGGAGAGTATGAAAGAGTTCAAAGAATGGCTATTCAAAGGATTGGTCAAGCACAGTCACTGACTCCGATGTCAGATTGATGGACTGATATACAAGGCTATCTTTTATTGAACATTGTTAGCAACACCTGAACCAATATTCCTGAAAGGAATTGTTACCAAATCTTCTCGTCATACAGGTGAATAAATAGCCAAATTACTGAGTGAAGATACTGAAAGTGCAGGTCCCTCCAGGGTACAAGCCCTTGAAACTGAAAACTGCATGGCAAATATTAAAGGCATAGTATCCTCATTTAATAGTATTTGGCTGTCTTGCTCATGGGTTGAATCTTTTGGCAAAGGACATGGTAAGTGTGAATACAATGAAGACAATATTGGCAAACTGCAAAGTGATTGTGAAGGTATTCAGTAATCATCATGTTGCTAATCAGACTTGGAAGAAATTACAGAAAGAGAAGCAGGCGAAGGAAAGTGCACTTTTATTGCCAGGAGAAACTAGGTGGGGCTCAGCTACAAAGTGTTTACATAGTTTGCCGTGCACAAAGAACTGTTTGCAGTGTGCTTCAATAGATGACACAGTATCCCAGATTATTCCTGTGAACATTCGGAAGCATATTCTCCACAGCTGTGTTCTGGGTTCAAATTCAAGGAACATTCAATTTCCTACCACCAGTTTCAGTGGCTATCAAGAAACTTGAAGGAGATGCACTAAGCTTTCAAATATTTCAGAGATATTCAGACAACTGAACGAAAATCTAATTAAGCTTTTGCCTTCCTCATCCCTATCCAAAAAAGTAGTAAAACAGATGTTTACTAAGAGATCTGAGTTTTGCTCTCATCCAGTTCATCTGGCAGCAAACATTTTGGATCTTCACTACAGAGAACAACATTTATCAGAAGATTAATTATCTATTGCTCTTGATACAATTATGGAAGTAGTTAAGAAGGTCCCCAACATGGACAACATAGCCGTGATGACAGACATTACCGAGTACTGCCCAAATGGAGAAAAGACGTCGCCTGGCAGGCAGCAGAGAATGTCTCCTCTCACATGGTGGAAGGGATACTGTAACACCCAACTGTTGTCCAGAATTGCTCTATGGATCCTAAGCATTCCACTAACACAACTTGTGAATGGAACTGGAAGGCTTTCAGCTCAATCAAGATAGAAAAGGGGACTAGACTAACAAAGGAATGCACCACTGAGCTTGTTTTTATTTCTCAAAATCTCTTGCTTCTGGAGAAACAGTGCGAAGCACAATTAATACAGAAGATGCAGTGTGACAATAAGTTGTCCTTGCCCATAGACTCATTGCTAAAACCATCCTTTAGTGAAAGAGAATGTGGTTCAGGTAGTTCTGAATCAGATTTGCCTCAATCTGATTCTGAAATGGAACTAATAAGTAGTGAAGGTGATTCTAAGGATAGTGACAGTGGAACTGGAGGCGCTGCAATGACCTCGGTGGAAGAGAGTTAAACTCCATTGAAGTAGATGAGGGGACAACCACAGCATATGATTGCACACTTCTTTGGATGTGCTAAAATTAGTGTGTCAACAGTTTTCAGTGCCTTCATTTTTTTTCTTAAATTTAAACAAGCAATGTAAGGGAAGTACATGCTATTGTGTATTGTCTTTACATTTTTACAAGTTTTCCAATAAAAATAATTTATTTCCACATAAAACTTTGCATTTGTTTGAGTATAACATTTAAACCACATTAAGTATGCTGTATCTAATTTTTTCGTAATCAGATATTTCAGTTCCAATACTTCTGACTATTGGGACATAAAATTAACATGGGGTACTTTTTTAGAGTTGTTTACTAAATATAAGCCAAATAAACATGCTAAATCAGATCACGTGCTATTTATGGCATTGGAAAATTTTCCAGAGAAAAAAATTTCAACCCCAACACTTGTATGGCACCGGAGGGAAGCACCATGTGCAGTAGCCCACTGCCTTCTCCGCGGAGTTGTACGACGTATGCAGCAGGGCATGGGGAAGGCAGTGGGGTACAGCACGTGGGGCTTCCTTCTGGTGCCACACAAGTGTGGGGGCTGCACGGCGGGGAGCACCAGCAATAGAGGTGATTGTCACTGTGATGTGCAGCACTGACCAGAGCCAGCACCCCGAGCACTCATTGCCTGTTGCTGCTGTGCCGTGTGGGGACGAGACTGGGGAGGTGGGGGTTTTCCCATCTTCCCTTACACCTAGTGTTCTGCATTTTCGGTTTTTACCAAATTTCACCAGTGAATTGCCTGATTTTTTTTTTCAAATTATTTGGGTTTTACTGATTTACACCCATTTTTCAGTTGACTCAATAATATTTTACCAGGTAAAGTAAAATCCCTGTCAACCAGCATGTGGGGAATGTGGGGGTGCGGTAAAGTAAAAGTGCCGGTTACCTGAGGCACAGGTTTCTGACAGGGGAGGGAGAAGTGGTGGTGGCCATGTGGCTGCCAGGGGAGGGTAGCTGGAGCCGCTGCCTGGGGATGCCGGGTTCCCAGCTGTGTGACCGTGGGAGGGGCTGCAGGAATGGCTCCCAGGGTGGACAGGTCCCAGCTGCACCCTGGCAGCTCTGGCTGCGGCCCTGCCCCAGGTGCTGGGAGCTGCAAGCCCTGCTGGGGGAGCAGGTTGGAGAGCCCAGCCTCACTCCCTGTGGTGGGCACTGCACCCAGCTGCTCTGCACAGGTCCACAGGGCTCCCAGCTCTGACCCCGGGTGGGGTGACGTGCTGGTGCCAGGGTTGGGTTCCCACCCCCACATCCGGCTGCGCACCACTCCCTCCTCCCCCCAGACACCAGGGCAGCCTGGCAGCAAGTGCTGCAGCAGCGGAGAGGGGTATGAACGCATCCAGGGAAGAAGGTGGTGGGGTCCAGTGCCATGTGCCAGGAAGAACTTAGTGCCACTGTGGGCCCCAGCCTGCAGTGGCAGCCTGCTCTCATCCTGCACACGGATCCAGGGCCATGCGCCCCCCAGGAAGAGCCTGGTGCAGTCCTCCCAGTGTGTGTGTAACAGCAAGAGCCATGCTCCCCCTGCCCTGCACCCACTGACACTTCCCCCTGCTTTGATTCCTGCCACAGCCCCAGGAACGGCTGATGGGCTGTGCCACACCCCTACCCCTTCCCTAGTTCCAGCCTTAGTCCCTCCCTGCCACAGAAACGTATTTTTATTTTCCCCGATATAAATTTATTTTTCCCTTTTCTTCCTTTTATCCAGATTTCAACCCCGTTTTTATGTTTGGAAGATGAACCCTGAAAAATTCCTGGAATTTTTTTAAATAAAACCTGAAAATGCAGAACAGTACTTGCACCCCACACACCCACACTATACGTCCACACAACCCCACATATACATGTACCACGAACATAACCTTATTGCCCCTCCACATAGCCATACCCCCTCACAAACCCCCTGTACCTTTCACCATACACACACATGCCCCCACACACAACGTACAAGACTAAAAATTTATGTTTGAGTCGCTATGCAATAGTCTCTATATACAGTACCTGAATACAAATCATGACAAAACTATTTTTTGTAATAAAATTAAAATACTTTCTGGTAGGTGTTTTGAGCTTTAGTGTATGATTTGGCTTTTTTCTGGTTCTAAGATGGGAACCACACTCTGCTAAAAGGAGTATTTCTGGAGGGCAAGGAGAGGGACTTCTGGTGGCAAAGGTTAGGGGTTAGGGGCAGGACTTTTGATCCCAAGATGGCGACCAGGGGGCAGGACTACCCATGCAGCCCTTGAAAACTCACCAAACCTTGTTAAGCGGCCTTCCACCTGAAATAATTGCCCACCTTTGCTCTAGATAGATAAGCAGCAAACACTACTTGATAGTACTTGAAGTAGTGTACGTTGCATTAGATTGGTATTCTTTTGAGTCTTTGGGGAACATGTTCTTGTTGATGCTTCCATTTTCGTTTCTTTATAGTGGTTGGCACCTACCACAGTTCCCCAGACCAGTCTCATCAAGTGGCAGGTAATCACCAGCAGCCTCCACAACAGAATACTGGATTCCCACGTAACAATCAGCCTTATTATAACAGCCGGGGAGTGTCTCGTGGTGGATCACGTGGTGCTAGAGGCTTAATGAATGGATACAGAGGACCGGCCAATGGGTTTCGAGGTAAATAAATAAGTACGTTTTTTGAGACTCCATCATTGTCCCCCTGCCAGTAGTACAGGATACTAAGGATCTTTAGCACCAAAATCCTATATCTTTTAATAGATTAGGCCCATGCAGCACTTGCCTGGTTTGCATGCAGTGTGGGCCTGGCGGTCTTGCAGCCCCCAGCCAGTTGGAAGTTGTACAGACCTGATTAAAATGATAATACCTTGCAAGATACCTACTTCTGTCATTTCCTGGTCATGATAATACATTTGTAAAATACCAAATGAAGTGTTAAGTATTTCAGTAATAACCCAAAAGGGCTGGGCATTTTACAAATGTAGGAAGTTCAGAGTTTTTCCCTGAGGAATTACAAGTGCACAAAAAGTAATAGTAGACCTACTCAGCACCGCAGCTTTCAATATGAACCCTAGAAGATTAGCTCTTTGATTTTTTTTTTTTTTTTTTTTTTTTTTTTTTTTGTG